AAATAGTATAGATATCTAAAAAGTATATATATATAAATAGTATAGATATCTAAATTTGTAATAACACTCAATATTTTAACGGTATGTATACTTGTTTGGTTTGGACACTAAGATCTATGATTTTTTTTATCGGAGGATAACTAAATTAGACATTTAGGGGTATAAGACTTATATTAATTCCTATATTATATTTTAAATCMATTTTCGATCACTGACCGTACTGCCAAATACAAATTAAATTTAAATAGTTTAACAGTTGATTCTTTAATATTAAATAAAAAAGTGGTCAAGTGGGTATTGCTCTGCTGTATAGTAGAGATAGAGAGTAGATCATTGTTATGAATGTGTTAAATTATCATTACAGATAATACATTACTAGACACTGATCGGGGATATTATATATATATCTGTGACTATTGATGACTTATAAAGTTATAACCATCAAATATTGATTATTTTTTTATCATTTCCTAGTATAATACCTATCTGAACAATTCTCCAAGTACATCCCAGATATCATTTTTCAAATTTTTTTTTTTTCTCAGCAATGTAATTAAAATTAGAATATAAGTTACTCAACTTTTGAAATTGTATAGGTATCTATCACTCAGAGGAAAGAGTTTTAGGATTAATGAAAAACGACTTTAAAATTAAAGAAAAAAGGTGATGTTTCGAGCCTATGAAATTGCACCAGAAATATTACTCAATGTACAGATTTAATTTAAGGAAATCATTAGTTTTCAATWATAAAATAATTCTTATTAATTTAATTTAATAAATGGATTATTTAAAATAAAAAATTATATTTTTAAAACTAAGAAAATTATCAATCATTTAATCAAATATAAGATACTAAAATTAACTGTTCAACTATTATTATTTTAATACAATTTTTACTTACAATAAAGAAACAATTTAAAATTAAGAGAAATACTGGTTGATTCTTTTATCATTGAACACTTATTATTTCAAAAAGTATCAATGTTTTTGTAAATATTTTTTTACAGAGTTTCATGTTGTTAAAAAAACAACATTTTTATTAAAAAATTTTGTTTTTTAATATTTTTTATCCTTATAATTTTTTAAGTTTTTACTTTTTTGAATGACAACATAGAGTTTTAATATCATATTCCAAAGCAGAATATTTTTCTTATTATTTTGATACGTAAAAATCGAATTTTGGACGAGTAGTTTATGAGTTATAAGTATTTAAAKTTTAGACAAGCGGAGTAGTGGACAAACATTTTGGGGGGTAACCCCGTACCACTCCACTCTGCCGGTCTAAACTTCAAATACTCATAACTCATAAACTACTCGTCCAAAATTCGATTTTTACGTATCAAAATAATTAGAAAAATATTCTGCTTTKGAATATRATATTAAAACTCTATGTTGTCATTCAAAAAAGTAAAAAACTTAAAAAATTATAAGGATAAAAAATATT